CCCAGTATTTATATGGTTGGTGCAGTTCAGTTTCTGCATTCCACATGGTTCACTTGGCAACAGTCCTTGTCCACATAGCACACAACAGCACATTGCGTAGAGCTAAACTCTCCACCCATCCATATATTTTCACAAGTGTTTTGTTTTAAACATAGAAGCTGCAGCTGGGGAATAAGTTAAATGTGCCGTGCATTGTGGATTGTTTTACTTGCAACAGAGTAAACTGTCTCCACTCACACCTCTGGGACCCATAGATGCTCCAATTTACCAAACACCCAGCTTACCTTCCTCCACTCACTCTGCCGCCTGTTATGTGTGACCTTCAGCTCTAAAAGGAACACACTATGGAAGGGGAAAGTGAAGCACATACAGTGCAGCACCTTACCGTCATCAAAGACTTGCATTTGTGAATCACCTTGAATATATCAAATTACCCAAGCAGCTTCAGAAGAGCAATATAAAATATGACACCGAGCTAAAGGGATAATAGATATCTAGAAGCTTGATTAAACAGGTCAGCTTTAAGCACCATCTTAAAGAAGGGAAAGAAACAGAGAGATGGCTAAGTTTAGCGTGGAAATTACAGGGGTTAGGGCTGAGGTAACTGAAGGCACAGCCTCCAATTCCGAAGTGATTGAAATCGGGGCTTGTCAAGGCAGCCATAGATAAATGCAGAGAACTCAGAGTGGTTTTGAGGTTGGACAATTTTAGAATTAGAATTAGCTTCATTACCACATGTGCTCACAAGCACACTGAAAAGCTTACAAGTTGCCACTTATGAAGCAATGTCAGGTACCTAGGTACAGATGGTCAAGTACAAATTCTTAGGGAAATAAAAACAATAGAAAAATAAGGAAAAGTCCAACAACAGGTTGTAAAAATAGAGAAGTAAGAGTTCAGAACGACAGTCCTTCTCACCCAGACTGCACTGGGCCTCACCTCGAGGCCCAGAGTCCGCGGTGTCTTTCACCCCGGACATCGCCCGAAGCCAAGAGGTAAAAAACAAAAAAAAAAATGCAAAAGGAGAGAGGTTAAATAAAAAAGGAAATGTATGGAGCGAGCGAACTCCGGCTCAGGAGTCCTACTCCACCACCATCTTGGAGTTGGCAGTGCTATATTACAGATAGGAAGGGGCTTGAAGGCAGCAAAGCATTTGAAACAAGGAGCAGAATTTTAAAATAGAGGTGCTGCTTGACCAAGAGCCAATGTAGGCGAGTGCGCTCAGGGCAGGAGGTGAAAAACTTGGTGCCAGTTGAAAGACAGCAGAAGAGTCCGGAATGACCCCAACTGCACAGAAAGCAGAATATGGGGAGAGCAGTCAGGGGTATGTTGGAATAGTCGAGTCTGGAATTAATGCTAACATGATGAGGGATGGATTCAGGAGCAGATGAGCTGGGGCAGGAGCAAAGTAGGGAGTTGTTAGTGAAGGCGCGAATATGGGTTTGGGGTCAAATAGGAGCGCAAACAGTCTGGTTTAATCTCAACACTGTTGCCAGAGTCTTGGAAACATTCTTTGGAGTGGGGACTGAAGGTTTCAGCCTTCCCAATATTTAATTGTTGGAAATTTGAAAGAATCCAGGACTGTTGGGTTTGACCATTTTGTACATTAGCTATTTATAGATTAAAAAAAAATCTAAAATCTGAAGAACATTTCTGAACACACAGTTCCTGCAGGGCCACCTTTGAGATTGATTGCTGCTTTCCATCACATACTATGACTTTCTCGTTGCAAATGCCTGCTTTCTGCACCACCTACAGGTGGCTTTTATAGACGTCTCAGCGATTCTTTGAAAACTTAAAGAATGATACTGTGGATCTAAAAGGCAATGGTATATTTCAAATAACGTCATCCGGGGTTTATGTAAAACTCCTCGTGTTATGCGAGGGTGCTGGATTGGAAGGGATGTGCTGTTCGAACACTTAAACCAGCTCTATTCAATCCAACCCTGTGCGAAGGCATAGTTGGCGTCTGCATTAAATAGCTTGTGCAGCAAGTCTAAAAGGTGAGATTTTAATGATGGGTCACCAGCAAAAAAGCTGTGACATTAATAAACTGAGGGAAGCTTTCCTGAAAATAATCCAAGGTGTTTAGTGCAAAAATATTACATAGTTGACGGATGCTAGAAACTGCATCAATTTGCGAGAAACACATTAATTCACTTTGCTTGATATTTAAACCAACACTTCTTTAACTTGGCTCCAGTAGCAAGTCACACTGTGGCCCTGATTCCGAGCCAGGATTTATTGGTAAGCCATTTACGCAACTGCCTGTTCATTATAGAGGTGTTTTCTCCAACATAGTGAAAACACAACACTGCGATACTATACTTTCAGAATAATGTTCCCAGAACAAGGCACTCTGAATGCTGTCACTCCCAATTTCAGTGGGTAATGTGCAAGCGTTAAGATTGCTGTTGTGGTTCTGGCAAGGAGAGCTTGTAAAAAGTGATACCAACTTGAAGTCAAACTTACAGCATGCCTTAAAGTAATAACTGAGCTGTGATCTTCCTGATGATACTCACCAAGGGCCGTGGCCTGACAACAGCTCTGCAGGGCCAAAGAGGCATGCCACCTGTCACATTTATTGGCCATTACGCTCAGTGCCTTCCGTCGTTAATAGTTTTCCAGTGACCTGCTCACTGGGCCTGTCCTGAGAAAGTTATAAAAAGTAATCCTTGGTGCAACCTGTAATGAGGAGTTTCCCAGCAGGGATGGAGGTAGTCAGGTCCCTCAGCAAGTTACAGCAGACCCTGGGGGAGGGCTCTGCTACTTATCAAGGCTTCTGGAGCATGCAGCTGCAAAAGCTCACATCAAAAATAAGAGGCAGCCCTTTGGAGAACCCTCTCGACAATACAATGCTGCCTGAATAGAAATAAAGAAGACAAGCTTGTTCTTTTCTTGTATTATTTGTACTCAAATAACTCAAGCTGCATGTTAATTCTGAGAAGGCTATTAATTGTTGAAAGAGGAATAAATTCACTTTATTACAAAAAATATGCGCTAGCTCAGACAGGGTCTGTCCTCATTAGGATGGGTTTTATGATGACAAATGTCATCGGTAACACCAGAATTGAGAGCCAGTGAAGACCTGCTTCGGTGACAGCACAAAGGGGAAAATGCTGCCTATACGTCCATGTCTTTTATTCACAGTGGTGTCAATGAACAAACGCTCAACACCACTCGTGCTCCCAGGCTGTCTGTAATTTAAAATAATAGTGTGGAGTTTGCAACTTTTGTCAAGTATTCCACACAAGCTCGTCATTTCATAGAATCACAGAGACTCTGTAGCTTGGAAGCAGGCCATACAGCCCATCAAGTCCACACCAACCCTCTGAACAGCATCCCACCTAGATCCACCCCCCCTACCCTATTCCTATAATCCTGCATTTCCCACCGCTAGCCCACCTAGCCTGCACGTCCCTGGACACTATGGGCAATCCACTCAACCTGCACATTCTTAGACTGTGGGAGGAAACCCGTGCAGGTACGGGGAGAATGTCCATGCAGTTTGCACACTTGCGCCGAGGATGGAATTGAACCCAGGTCCCTGGTGCTGTGAGGCACCAGTGCTAATGCCTGAGCCACCGTGCTGCCCATTTTTTCAAAAAATTCATTAACAGAATGAGGGTGCTGCTGACCAGGCAGCATTTATTGCCCAGAGGGCAGTTCAGAGTCAACCACATGGCTGTGGGTCTGGAGTCACATGTAAGCCAGACCAGGTAAGGATGGTTTTCTTCCCGAAAGGACATTAATAGCATTTGCAACTGCTATGTTCAGCACCTCCTCAAAAACAACTCAACCTCACTGTCTCCTTGCAAACTATTACCTCAAAATCCAACCTTTGGCTTCTCTTTCTTTGAAAACAAAAGAAAATCCCTAAACATTTCATGAATACAAAATCCAAACATCATGGTTCATATGGTCAGCAGCTACAAACCAAAAATGCTGGGCATACTCAGGTCTGGCAACGTCAGAGACAGAAACAGATTCAGTGCTTCAGCTTAAGGACCTTTCAGCTCAATGTGTAACAGTGACTGTTTCTCTGTCCGCAGATGATGCCAGACCTGCTCAGTATTTCCTGTGTTTTGTTTTCATTTGGAATCTTTGCAAACTAACTTGCCTCAAGATCTTGACATTTTAAAAGCATTACTTTGCAATGATAAATCAGGCTGATTCAGAGGTTTGACGTGGGCTCTGGAAAAGAAAATTGGGAGACAGATGAGAGAAAGTTATGCCTAGAACCAACACAGCCAATCAACAGAACAGTGCCCCATGGTCACCTTTCACCCATGTTACCATCATGGCTATCCACCATTAGGACCTACCCTCTGAGCAAAACATATTTCTGTATGTACGATACACACACTTCACACATTGAATAACTGACCAAAACAAGAAAGATGGCCATGTTCACACCATATTCACGTCTTGCAATCATTCTCAAGATTCTGCTTCTCAAAAGAGTAGTTCCTAGCTCTTAGAGCCTATCATAGGGATGTAAGGAGATGCTTTATAGCAGCATTCAATCCTGTCGTCCTCTCCTGCACCCTTTCCGAAGTCTGAGCATTATCTCTGGGAGGAGATTAAAAACCTAGACTCCGCATTCTTAGACACATGATTGAAGTCAGTCTGGAGGTAACAAAAAACACGGCAGATTTGCTGAACCAGAAGTTAAAATAGGTGATAGTAAAGGAGGCAGAAAGCTTGAAGACAGAGGATATTGGGGGGGCGGGGGGGACATTTTTTTCAGACACTGAACTGTGCTAAATAACGCAAGTGCATGAACACCCACCAAGGACAGGGTTGTAAAGGACAGTATCACTCTCTAGGAGAAAAGGAAGACTGCAGGGTGTCAGTCATTACCAGACCACCACCAGATTCTAGAATAATACTGACACAATTCACTTAAACACATTAAAGAACTGGTGTAACAACCACCCCACGTTGGGAATGTTTGCCCACGCTACCACATTTCATTCAAATCAATAAGGACACAGTAATTTCAATGTCAGGTTTTATTTGATATCTACAGTCAATTAATAAGGTACTCAAAATTCTGCACAGGCCCTGGGTAAATCCAATCAGGTTTGCCATGCTGAGCTTGCTATTTTACCATGCATCAGAGTTCTCTCACTTTCACTTCCTTTCAAATCTGTTTAATTGGTATTCCACAAGCCACACAGTTACTTTAACCAGATCCACTTATCTCCAACATCAGCATTGAAACCTTCTGCATACTTTCGACCTGGGAGCTGAAACAGGAGACATAAAACAGACATGGTAAGATTGCTTCATACAGGTTGCAAGAAAGCTGGCCTCTAACTCTTTCATGTTGCCTGATATCACTGTGCACTCAAGTTCCATTTGATGAGTGCACAGTTAATTGGTTTTAATTAACTACTGTATAACCAGTATGGTTATACGTGGAACATCACTTAAAAAAGATAATTGAATCCTATAATGACCTTGCATATAGATACAATTACTCACCCTTCAATTTCATAACTTATTTATTTACGTAAAATGAATGATAAGTTCCAAACGACAGAAGTAAGCAGGAGAAAGATCAGGGAAGGTGACTATAAGCATGCTCAGAAAGTGAAGTTTTAAAGGTGCTTAAGCATGCAGGTGATACTGAGGCAAAGACGGAGGAGGGGGCCGGAGCCGGGCGGAGGGGTGAGGGAGGTCAGAGCCGGGCGGGGGGAGTGGGGGGGTGGGGTGGGGAGCGGGGAGAGGCTGGTGTCTCCTACATCACGGCGAATACATTCCTCCCACCCAATCTAGCCTCCCCAATGGAATAACCTAGCTCTGTTGTCCCAGTTAACCCTTAAAAAATCTTAAAGTGCAATTCCTTAGAACATTACGAGTCTGCACCACGTGACCAAGCCCAGGAAACATTCCAGAGGAGTGTTTCCACTCCCCAACCCCAACCCCAACCCCATCCCCATCCCCATCCTCTATTATTTGGTTATGTCAAAGAAAGCTGTCACTATTCATTTTCAGTGTGTTGGCCAAACCTTGATTGCAGTAGTCCCTGCATTACATACACCAGCCTCCAGTGTGACCCGAAACAAAATCATATTTAAATATTTATGTCCAATTACCTGGGCCGTTAGAAGTTGTTTTGATATTAAGCAACCACCTTTCACTAAAGATTACTTACAACCAGAAACAAGCCAATACTTTTTTTTAAAAAGCAGTGTGTTATGACAGAGGGTTGGCGTTCGGGACAGGGAGGCAGGGACGGAGCAGAAAGGAAGAAGGTCCATCCTTCACGTGTTCAAAGCGATCAGGTCAGAGGTCAACATGAAGTTGAAGTTGAAGGCTTTGGTGAACTGAGTAAGTTTTCTCATTTTGCCTTGTGCACCTGAGGCAACACAGTGTGGAGTTAGAGGAACACAGCAGGCCAGGCACCATCAGAGGAGCAGGAAAGTTGATGTTTCGGGTTGGGACCCTTCTTCAGAAATGGGGCAGTGGAAGGGGGTTCTGAAATAAATAGACAGGAGGGGTGGGGGTGGGGAGGGTAGGTGGGATGGTGATATGAGAGTGCAGGTAGTGAGTGGTGGGGATTGATCAGTGAGATGAGAGAGATGATGGACACGTTGTGTCAGGTCAAGGAGGCGGGAATGAGAGGGAGGGTTAGACATGGGACAAGGCCGGGGGCGGGGAGATTTTAAAACTGGTGAATTCTATGTTTAGGCCATCGGGCTGTAGGTTCCTGAGGCGGAATCTGAGGTGTTGCTCCTCCAGTTTGCGGGTGCTGTCATTGTGACACTGGAGGCGGCCTATGATGGACATGTAGGCAAGTAATGAGAAAGGAGAGGTGTCTGTAGCCGGGTTTGCTTGAGTGTATGGTCGAAGAGTTTCAGGGCAGAGGAAATCACCAGAGGGTTGCAGTGGAGGAAAGATCCACTGAGGTCCTTCTGGAGGGAGGAGGATAACTTCTTCAAGGTGGGCATCCTTGGAAGGGCCTTCGCAGGGGTGTTATAAATTACTCAGAGATAGCAAGAACTGCAGATGCTGGTGTCAGGGACAACACTGTGTGGAGCTGGAGGAACACTCGGACATAGCAAGAACTTTCCCCATTTCTGAAGAAGGATCCCGATCCGAAACGTCAACTTTCCTGCTCCTCTGATGCTGCCTGGCCTGCTGTGTTCCTCCACCTCCACACTGGGTTGTCTCTGACTCCAGCATCTGGGGTTCTTGCTACCTGCGTACTTGAGGTACTTCTTATCATCATTTAATGGGAGCATTGAGGGATCAGCCCCACTCAATGCCGTGGGCACCTCAGAAATTTGCAGTGTCACCTATGATTCAGTTGGCAAAGCTCTCACCTGAGTCACAACATTCTGACTTCAAATCCCATCCCAGGCAAAAATAATCTGACCTGACATTCCAGTACAGTACTGAGGGAACGCTCACTGTCAGAGGTGTCCCGTTTTGGATGAGAAGTTCAACTGAGGCCTCGTCTGCTTACTTGGTTGGATGTAATAGTAATATTTTGAAGATCCATGATGAAATTAAAATTATAATGTGCGTCGGTTGTCGAGGGGGAGAGACAGAACAGAGCGAGAGAGGCTGAGTGGTCTGTACGCTCTAATCTTGCTTGCATTTCTTAGCATTGTGTTCCATGGACTTATTAACTGACCAGTCTCTTGGGATCACATTTTCCTCTTTCTTTCACTGCAACTTCTCAGCTTGCGTCCAGACTATAAATAGTAACCTTTGAACAGCCGTGCCAAGTTGCCTTGTTTAAACATGAAAGGCTAAGGGAAACCATTGTGGTTTCAGCCCAAAACTGAAATATGCACAGATTGCATGCTGGACTTAGTGCTCAAAATATACTTGCTCACAGCAAATTTTTCACCTCACTTGCCTAAAAACTACCTTCGGCCTGGGCTTACTGCACTAACCTAGTGCAGTTTTGTGGAAATGGGTCTTTCAGCAGGTTCAGCATACATTTTAATTCGAGAGAGCATTTTACAACTTGTACTGAGAACAGCTTCTTTTTCCTAAATGGGTGTAAAATTTGTAGGTACCAACAGCTTCCTACAGGTCTTATCATCATGCATTCAGCTGCACCCAAGTAGCTTTGGAACCTGTTGTTGACCCAAATACTGAACAACAATCAGAGAGAAGGAAAACCTTATCATTGTCCTGAGAAGGAAGAGTTGGACATTCTCAACTGAGAAGCACATTACACAAACCCAGCAGCAGCCAAACAGGAATGTGGCAATCATATCCAAGATAAAGTAACTGGATTGAGTGATGGAAGTTTAAGATGCACTGACATACTCTTAGAAAAACACCGGAAATGCCTAATGTAGTTCTTGATCATCTCATTTTCAAGAAATGTACAAATTGTTAACAATGAATCACCTAGGGTTTTAAAAAAAAAAAAATCCTTCCCTGCTTAAGCTACAAAATTCTCCCTAAGATATTAAATACACCAACAGTTGACTTGCTGTTTATTCATTTTTAAAAAGCCATGCTTCTCTAAGGAAGTGCTGTGCAAATCCTTCTCCCTGTGTGACCACATTTTAAAACCTCAATCTTCATGGGACCCCTGGGTAGGAGGGGTCATAGCACCTGAGCAGGGTTGGAGGCAGAGAGGAGAAAAGAGTGAAGTTCAGCTGGTCAGTGTCTAAACTGCAAGGGAGGTATTTGTAAAAAAAATAAACAAACTTTCCACAAGCTTTTTAAGGCAGCAAGAACCTTCCGTTTGGCTACATCCACCCACAGGAAAAGTCAGGAGGATTTAAAGAAGCTCATAGCTGTTAGCATTTAATTCCAGTTCCATGGCAGCCATTGCTGGGGACTTTGGGTCTACCTTTGGGCCAGAAGGCTTGGGTTCAAGTCCCACCAGGCTGGCACATGTGTCACAGCATGTTCAAACAGGTTGATTAAAATAACTGGTTACCATTGCTGCCTCGAAATCTCACTATTCTCCAGCTTTTAGGATTACCAGTGTGGAAACAAACCAACTTTGCAAATCATCTATGCTGACCCTGATCTGGGAGCCTTTGATACTATCATGGGGGCAAAAAAGCGTGATTCACAGTAAAAGCATCGAGTCAGACACAAATTATACTTCTATTCAGCCTAAAAATCCTTTGGAAGCACAAATACAGAAAAGCAGAGAAGAGACACATTGCATGCACTGAAATCTTATTTTTAATGCAGCCTACAGGCTTAATATCCAGTTCCCTACCTGTCTGTAGGCATGATACATTCGATCAAACTCGTGAGCTCCAATTGTGATTTCTGGAAGGAATCTGGGAAACGATGTCAGGTCAGCTACACGTTGCTTGTCTTCAACCCTAATCAAGATAAAAAGGTAATGTGAGTTGGCATATATCCCAGTGACAGATCAATACATCCACGCACACACTTTGCCAAGATGCACTGAACCTGGATTGTGATTGCTCTTTAATGTGACAGTCGGTACCATATTAAAAATTGCTGGATCAGAAACTACCACATGACTAAATTTTGCCAAAATATAGTATTCATTAATTTCTCCAAAAATAAAACTGTTGTTCGTTAACCAGGAACAAAACACAAGGGTAAGCAAGAGGCAACTGTAACACAGAAAACAAACTTGTTCAATGTAACAACAGCACACCCTAGTGTTTTTTCTCTGGCATAGCCCATAACTCAATGATATTAGTAGAAATCAAATTTTTCTACAATTATCATCGAGAACAACTTTTCTGACAACTGGTGCCTTCTTTGTCAAAACCCATAGTTCAAAGCTTTCAATTGCCTTACTACATCTGCGCACTCTGCTATCAGACTTGTGCATCTGCATCACTTTTGACTGAGACTGTTCCACAGAGTCCTGCCCCAAGACATAGAGGTGATCCAAGACTGACAGAATCTAATGCGAATAGGAGATCAAGAGAAATGGCCACAAGATGGTGGGATTATTACAGGGCCATTTTCTATTTTCAGTGAAATTCAAGTGTACAACAAGACTTCAAGTTGTCCTGACTTGTTCTCTACTCCCATGGCTCACTCAAAAATGTCAGATCAAAACAGACGGAAAGAAACAAAAGACTGATGAATTTGATATGTTTTTGCTGTGTCCCCAAGGCAAAAATTGTTCAATAAAACATACTGGAAATCAGCCAGCGCACATAACATTTCCCTCTTTTAAAGATGATATTAACCCATTTACTTGAATGCAGTAAAATAGCAATGGGAGCATGTGAAGAATTTTATAGTAGAATCGATATCAATTTATAACCTTACAGTCTGATAGTTTCAAAAGACGTTCTAAGCTCATAAGTTTTGCAATGCAAATAAATGTTGGCCAATGAACTTCCTTAGCTCGTTTCAACCACTCTCCAGACATACAGTGGATCCTGAAGTGAGCTGTCCTGATGTAACCCTATAATGTACCAATTGCCAAAGGCTCTCTCAACAGTGCCTAAAAGACTTAAAAAACATTTTTTCCAAAGTTAGGCAAAATAGTGACTGATCTTCTTATTGTTCCCTCTAAAATGAGTAATACTATTGTATTTTAATACAAGTGCACTGTTATATTACAGATTGCAAAGTCTTTTATGCTTTTGCCCATTGAAGCTGCATTGAGTCTTTGAAAGAGCACATGGAACAATGGCAACATTTGTGTGGAGCAGACAATGAGTGACTCAAACTAAGGACATATTGGTGCCATTTCAAATGAGTTCACATCTCTTTATTATTAACAACAGATTATCCAGTAAAAGGCAAAAATTTCTCATCAAGAGAAAATGCCAACATAATTAATTGGGACAGAACTTAACAGCAAAATAACAAAGGTTATGGAGCACACAATTATTAATGTAAAAAATTGTGCTGTTAACCTCACGAACCAGGGCTCACCATCAGCATCAAGAGATTCAAAACATTTGTTGGATTTGAGCAGTAAATATGTATTAAAATTGCTACAGGAAGTTAGAATAAGTATTTAACAATACAAAGACCACTTAAATGGCAGATATGTTCCTCAACCTCAGAAGACCGAGAACAGAATATTCAGTTGTAGAGTTCCATTCCTAACGGAATTGCTCCAAGAATCTTAACATTCAGTCAGTTTGCCTACTTTCTCCTTTCAGCCAAATCATTTTCCCCTCTCTTCATTTCCCTCTATTAAATTTGAATCCAATTGCTGGGCGGTAAGTCCCTGCTTAACACTGACTTGCTGAACACTATCACACTTTAATGTCACATGTAGTTATCGAGATATATCCATTTTACAGTGGAAACCAATGCTAAACAATATTCATATAGTCGACTTGTTCGGCTGGCTAGTCCGCTCGCAGAATCTTTTCCCCAGTGCTCCCACTCCCACTCTCAGTCCTGGGGCCTCTCATCCCTTTAGCTACCAATACGAATCTTCAATCTCGAAGTCTTTCAAACCCTTGGAGTCCACAGCCCCATTGGACACGTCAGCTGCCACTCCTACACTGGCCTGGTTCCTGCTCATGCCCCCACAGTCCAATTTCTGCCCACTATTCTCACCTTTAAAGTCCCTGGTGTTTACTGCTAACACCAAGGACTTGCTGCCCCTCTCCAACTTCAGTTCAGATCTTGCACTGAACTCTCCAGTGCCGTCTGGTAACAAAAGTTGGTTACTGGAGGTAATCCTGGGTTGCCTTCTGCTACCAACAAGCTGAGCAGGAACCCTGTCAATCTAAAGCTGGAGTGGGTGAGTGTAATTTTTTTTTTAAACATTTACTTACACTACAACATTCATATTTATTTTGTTTAATTTTGTCTTGATGCCATTTTATTTCCAAAGATTGGCATTTACTAACACTGGCCTTTCAAGTTACAATGTTTTGAAGTTTTATTTTCTGTTGCGAGAGGTCATTAAGTACCAAACTGTATGTTTTGTCTTTTAGGCACAGTGACTGATTTTGTAAGTTCCTTCAGTTGGGAATGCTCAGTTTTACAGATGTATGACATTGTAATCTGTACATTGTTTTTCCAGGCCAAAAATGTACAAGGGAACCAAACTCCGTTTTAATATTAATCCCTATCAGGCCTTAATGATTCACTTAAAGATTTCATCTCCAACTTTGTTGAGGACTTGCTGCATTTCCTTTTCCATTGTTCACACTGTACTCTAAGACAGATAGTTGACTATTTTGTTCAGAGATCCCAGATGTGCCTTTGCTGCTGTGCTATCAGCCACTTTCCCAGTAATCCACAGCACCAAAAATTTAGAATCAAAAGCTGCAGAAAACAATTCAACTTGTGGTGCACACTGTGAGATTACACACAGCATTTGCAAAACAGAAAGATGTAATTCTGTCTAAAATGTCTATAATGGTATTTACATTCCACACGGTAGCAAATTCCAAATTCTAACTCCCCTCCAAGTGACGAAAGGTGCCACAGCATTATTTTGAACACTCACGATGTTCTCTCCCGTGTCCTGGCTGATATTTAGGCCTTCAGTAACACCACTAAAAACAAATTGGGATTTTGCATTGCTGTGGGTGTGATCTTGCTGTGCAGACATTAGCATTTCCTGCATTATGGCAGTTCCTGCTCCTGAAGTTCTACATTCAGCAACCTCAAAACCTACAGACAAGATACTATGCATGCAACAAAGTGGGTCAATTCAATGTGTCCTGTAAACTTGAAAGGCTGGCTTTATATTGCCATCAAGAGTGATGTTAGCACTGAAGGATTAAGTGAACACAATGGCATTATGGGAACGTTATTAACAATTTAAGGCAAATGCAGAAAGTGAACCAATCAACTTTATAATGGACAGCACTATGTTACTTCGCACACACAAAGATGTTCAGGACAGAGCAGAGACTTTTAAAATACTTGACAAACTGAGAACAACAAACAATAAACCTTTAAACTCAGGCAAATCATGGGGAAATGCAGGAAGGAAGTTATCACTTTTTTTATGAACTTCAAAAGTACTCAGTTCATTCTTCCCTTAAAATACACACAGCGGAAGTGCAGCTCGACACAGAATCTTGCTCAAATATTCCCTTGATGATAAATAAGTGCCAATACAAAGACTTATCAGTCATTCAGTATTTATAGGGAAACCGCACAAACTTCCAAGCTCCAAAACTTCACAAAAGAGCCAGAAATCTGAAATAAAAACAGAAATGCTGCACAAACTCAAATATAGCAGCAGGTATGGAGACAGAGACAGTTAATATTTCAGGTCTGTGGCCTTTCATCAGAATTCCTCACATCCCAGCAATGAATAAAAGAAAATGCTGCAGAGGAGCAAGCAATCCTTTGTGGCAACAGTCTAATGCAGGCGACAGATTTGATTGGGATGGGAGAATGAATGTTGTAGTGTAATTCTTGACACTTCATACATGAGTGCTAGAAACATGCACAACTCATCGATAACGATACACTTCCACCCTGCTCACTATTCCATTATTTTAATTACTCCACTTGATGAGTGTGTATACATTGGAATGGAACAGGGACACAGCCCAGTCAATTTCCTCAAGTGAATTTGGTCTCTGGCCATGAGTGGTATTTCTTGCGATGCTTACACCTCTAGTCTCATCTGCTTTGCTCGTTCTAGGAACTAGATTTGATCTTTAGAGGGCCCCAGTGCACAGCAGTTAACCCAGTTGCTTGAAAAATGTTATTCCTTAATATCACCTTCAAAACATTCTCAATGTGGAATTAAATAAAAACAGGGACATGGTTTATATTGGAATGACAGAATCCTACAAAAGCTAACAAATACCAGAGAGATATTTATGACGTTGTGGATTTACTAGTTTATAAAAAGCACTGTTGATTTACTTTTCTATTTAATTTTTGTAGTGCACTGGAGCATTTCCAAACCAATAGGACAAAGCAATGTGGTGCTGAGGTTTTGACAAGGGCAGCTTGCTCTCAGACAGAAAAAGAAACAGTAACGTGTCTTAACCTTACAGCCAAAATCAGACTCCTTAATACAGACTGGAGGGGGACAGGAAGGAGTAGAACGTACAAGTATATGAAAAGATAGACAGGGTAAGACCATACAATTTAACAGCCTGCCTCGGTCACAAAGCACCAAGCATCAGAACCTTCAAATGAAAGCCCCAAAATGTATTTCAGTGTAACGGTAAGTGGCCCTGTCCGTAATATCCTATGGTATTATTTTGAAGAAGAGATTTACCTTTGATCTGACACATACTTACCTCTCAATCAACACCATTCTTAAAAAAATCTGGTTAATATCACCTTATTATTTATGGGATCTTGCTATGGAAAACTTGACTGCCATGTTTCCTATATTATAGCCTTGATTGCACTCAAAAATATCACTTTGGATGGGAGGTGCTTTGCAGTGTCCTGAGATTGTGTAAGGTGCATTATAAAGGCAATTTTGTTTTCTTACACTGACACCAAGTACAAGTCCAATGCCAATCATTGCCTGGGATAGATTTCTTCCCACTCACTTCAACAAAGGACTCAATTCTCTGCTGCAATAGCACTGCAGAGAACACCCAGCAGAATGCGCTCTCTTCACACTGGTAAAATGTATCAACCTGTCTATCCTTTCTCTCATGCTCCGGCTCCCACTGATTCTTCTCAGATTGGTCTCCATTATCCAGCTCATCTGTTTCCATATTCAACTGATCATCTTACACCATTTCAGGTCAAGAAGATCCTTCTACCAAATACAATTTGCCTTCCCTGATTTTTAAAGGGACAATTCCCCTCTGTGACACCTGGTTCCATTCTCCCATCATCCCTAATATTGCTCTCCTCTCTCTGGCTCCTTCCAATTTTAATAACGAACCTACTTTGTTTTCTTAATTCAGGATCAGGGTGTTGCTGGCAAGGCAACTTGCCAATTATCTTAACGTGGTGGTGAGCCACCTTCTTAAACTGCTGGAGTTGATGCGTTGTAGGTAAAAAGCACTGTGCAGCTTCAGAGTCTTCCAAGATTTTGATAATGAAGAACTGTGATATAATTCCAAGTCAAGGTGGCCTGTGTATTTTGGAGGGAAAATTGCAAGTGGCAGTGTTCTGTTGCTCTTATACTACGAGGTGCTGGAGGTTGCAGGAGCTTTGGCAATTTGTCACTGTACGTCTTGAAGATGGTACATACTGCTGTCACTATTTTTCAGTGGAGGGAGCAAATGAGCTGCCAATCAAATAGGTTGCTTTGTCCTGGATGGTGTCAAGTTTCCTGAATGATACTTTAACTTATCTGTTCACTTCACAAATGCTGGCTGACCTGTTCAATGTTACACATGTTTTCTGGTCGTAAGGTGAGCTGGTCTATCAAACCTGCACTGTACAGTTATGGCAAAAATCATGTACCCATCCAGTGCAATACAGTTGCTCAAGTGCTCCCCACAAGAACTGAAATGGTCACAGGCAACCAAATATATGTTTAAGTAAACAGTTATTCATTATATCCACATATTTTTCAGTTGCCCTCACCTAACTACGATATGGTTCATAGCTGCCACACCAAATCCCTAAAAAGTAAAATTCTCCATTACACCATCATTAGCTGATTCAGTTGTCCCTGTAACTTGCGACAAGAATGCCAGGTCATAATGAGCTCCTTGACCCAGATTCCAACAACAGGAGCCAATGATCACATTTCAAAATAGAGCAGCTGGAGTAGGGTGAAACAGGTCTGGAGTGATTCAGAACAAGAGGCTTCTGTCAAGATAGGTAAAACATTATCCAAAGATAATAAGCATATGAGGAACAAAAGACTGTGTGTGGGACTGCCAACTGCGCGGCAGCAACAGATTTTCAGCACCCTATTCAAATGGAACACATGCTTTGCAGTACTCCCTCAGCTGAGCATCAGAAAATTATTTTTTAAAAGTTTACAACTCGTCTAAGCAGGCAATTTTTTCCACGAATGTCTATTTAGCATTTCACTGGAATCTGACAGCAGGCGTAAAAGCAGAACATTACATAAATGCACGGTGGATCTAAGAGCATTCACGAAGAGGAACAACAAGTTTGACATTTCAGATATGCACACTCAGCTAGAATCCAGCAGTTACTCAAACAGTATGCTGTCTCTCTCTTTTCACAGTTATTGATAGAGCTGCTGTACCTTTCCTGATTTTCATTGACTGTTCTTTCAGACATTCAAATTTAACTGCATCTTTGTAACATCTTGCGGCATTCTTAGCAGCACAGTGAGCTCCATATTCTGAATGGTACTAATATCTAGTGTAACATGTACTCACAGCTGTCTGAGTAAATGGAAGGAAACATCACTTTGCTCCAGCCATGGCCCTTTCTCCCACTTTAACAGTCTGACGTCCTCAGCAACCTGCAATTACAGCAGGAATAATTTGGTCTCAGATATCAGTCAAAGTTTATTTTTCTAATAGGAGAGTACAGAAATGTTTGATACCTGAAAATAACTTCATTACAAATGGTACAACCACACAAACGAATTGGCAACCTCCAAAGTGGCAGCCACATTTCAATAACAATTTAAATTTATATGATTCAGAGATAGTAGGAACTGCCTATGCTGGAGAATCTGAGATAAGGTGTAGAGCTGGATAAATACAGCAGGCCAAGCAGCATCAGAGGAGCAGGATTTTCTGAAGAAGGGTCCAGACCCTAAATGTCAGCTTTCCTGCTCCTCTGATGCTGCTTGGCTGCTGTGTTCATCCAGCTCTACACCTTGTTATCTTAAATTTATATATCACCTTTGATGTTGTAAAATGTTCCAAGAAAACGTAACATCAAGGTGATATTGGGGAAAGTACCAAAAAAACTCAAAGATAAGTTTCAAAAAAAGAGAGACAGAGATGTGGAGAGGTTTAGAGAGAGAATTTCTGAGTCAAAGGATCAAACAAACGATAATATGGTCTCCAATGGTGCAGCAATTGGGAAAATGCAGTGGTAACACTGTGGCGCCTGACTAATATTAATCCTCAGCCAACTACGTGTGAAAAAATTACGTGGCCATTCATCACATTGCTTGTGGGCTATCGATGGCCTACACATAGTGGCTTGACCTCAAGCCACTGCTGTAAAGCACTCAAATGTGCAGAGAATGCAACAGGTGTTATACAAGGGCAGATTTTCTCTCTCCTCTGTGCAATGCCCAGAACACCACTAGAGAAAGGACAAACCTTTAAAGTGCATTGTCAAAAGACATGATGAAATTGTGGCCCAGGTCCTTTCTTAGTCAATGTTTCAAGTCAAATCAAATTTCTCACCTGCGTATCGCTCAATAATGATAAAGGACAACACTTAAAACCCAAACAAAACAAACTAACCATGTTTAAAAAAAAAGTTACTCTCTTGGTTCTATTTGACCCAATATGACTGGTTATGGCTTAAATCTGAGGCTACCATAAAACGACTTTTGTACCTTATGCAAGAATCAGGTCTTACTGCAAAGATATAGTGGCTTTGGTGAGACCAGACCTGCAGTACTGTGTGCAGTCTTGGCCTCTGTACTTAAGGAAAGATATTCTTACAGAAGACACACCAAAAGTTAATTAGATTGATTCCAGGTAAAGTGGGCTCTGGGGGATAGTGGGGAGGTGTTGGGAGGTATTGGGAGTGGTGGATGAGTGGACCAAAGTCTCCCAGAGGTAACGGTCCCTGCAGGAGGCTGACAAGAGCGGGGAAGGGGAGTACGAGTCTGGTGGTGGCATCCCAGCAAAGGTGGCGGAAGTGGTGACTAATGATCCTTTAGACATGGATGCTGGTGGGAGGGTAGGTGAGGGACCCTTTCGCTGCTGCGGATGGGAAGGGAGGGAGTGAGGGCCAAAGTGCAGGAGATGGGTCAGACACGGGTTGGGGTCCTGACAACCGTGGTGATGGGGAGCCCTCAGTTGAGGAAGGTGGTGGACCTTTCGATGGCCCCCCTTTGTCAAAGGTAGCATCATCAGAACAGGTGTGGAGACGGAGGAACTGGGGGAATGGAACAGAATCTCAATAGGAGGCAGAGTGCGAGAATGTGCAGTTGATTGGTGGGTTTGTAGCAGATATTGGGTAGATGTATACTTACAAAGATATTTTCTATTGAATATTGAAGGATTGAGTTTTTTGAGGAAGTGATGAAGATGATTGATGAGGGGAAGGTAGTGGATGTTGTCTGCATGGACTTTACTGAAGCACTTGACAAGGCCCCTCTTAAATAGGCTAGTCCAGAAAACCAAATCACATGGAATCTATGGTGATATGGGAAGTTGGATACAAAATTGACCTTGTCACAGAAAACAGAGGGTAGTTGTGGAATGTTTTTCTGACTGGAGGTCTGTGACCAGTGGTGCTCCATCAGGAACAGTGCTGGGACCTCTGTTGTTTGTAACATACAAAAGTGATTTGGATGAAAATTATTTGTAAATTTAGAGATGACATGCAAGTTGGTGGAGTTGAGGGTAGTGAGGAAGGATATCGAAGGATGCAGCAAAATATAGATCAGCAGGAAAGTTGGACAGAGAAATGGCAGATGCAGTTTAAACTTGACAATGTGAGGTGATGCATTTTAAGAGGTCAAATGCAAGAGGAAAGTAAATAGCCTGACCCTTAGGAGCACTAAGATACAGAGAGATCTTAGGGTCCAAGTCCATAGCTCCCTGAAAGTGGCAAGAAGTGGATAAGGTGGTGAAGAAGGCAAATGGCATGCTTGCCTGCATTAGTCAGGGCATTGAGTGAGTATAAAAGTTGGCAAGTCATATTGCAACTGTACAAGACTTAGGTCAGGCAACATTCGGAGTACAGTGCGCAGTTCTGGTCACCACAACAGACAAAGGATGTGGATGCTTTGGAGAGGGTGAGAAAGAGGTTTACCAGGATGTTGCCTGGATTAGAGTGTATTAGCTATTAGGAAAGGTTAGACAAACCTGGATTGTTTTCACGACACCGGTGGAGGCTGAGGGTCGACCTGATAGAAGTATAAAAGATTATGAGAGGCATGGTTAAGGTGAAATGTCGGGGGCTCTTTCCCAGAGTAGCAATGTCAAATACTCGAGGGCAAAGGTTTATGGTGAAGGAGGAAATGTTTAAAGGAGATGTGAAAGGGAAGTTTGTTGTTTAGACATAGGATAGTAGGTGCCTGGAATCTCCTGCCAGGGGAGGTGGTAAAAACAGATATGGTAGCAAAGTTTAATGGGCATTTAGACAGACACATGATTCGGCAGAGAACAGAGGGATATGGACAATGTGCAAGCAAGAGGGGATTAGTTTAGAATAGAATCACGGTTGGCACAGACATGGTGGGCCGAAGGGCCTGTTCCTGTGCTGTATTGTTCTGTGTTATCTGGAAAGGAAGGAGATGTAGGGTTACAGGTAGTAGTGGGGAGAATGGTTAAGATGGACTGATCATTCAGGGAGCTGGTGCAGAGAAGGACAACCTGAATGGCCTCATCCACACTGCAACAATCCACAATTCAGTAACTTCTCTGATGTAGGCTCAAACCAGATTGCGTTCACTTAAAATTAAATAAACAGTGCTTGTGCAGGCCTATTCAGCTTGTTTATCCTGGCAAATGATAGCTTCAACAATGTATGGTATACTACTGAAAACCTCTCTGGGCAAACACAAAGTCCAGAACAAATAAGTTGACAGGCTTAGCTCAGTGCAGTTTGATTTATTTTATGTGAAATAACCAAGACAAAATGTGGAACATAATCCCTTTGATACTGGGATCAGAAATTATATTAGGTCAATTTGGACCAGTTGATGGTGAATTTAACCAACACACTCAGTACATAAGCATGGTATAAAATGATTTATTCCAGTTTTAACAATTCAAAATGCGTCACAAAAACCACAATCATGTTTTGATTAAAAATTTTAGAGGCATTACAAGTATTTTGAAGTCTGAAAAGGGGAAGGCATGCTCCAATAGTTATTGAAAAGAACTTTACTGTTTTTTTCATTCAAAGTTACATGTGACCCTGCCACAACATTGAAACACCCCTTATTACTGAAGAATATTAAAGGCTGTTTAATCCTGTGGCAGGTGTCTTGGTTGTTTCCTTTGTCTGTCCACACCTTTTTGCTCTCTGTCGCCAAGCTTTGTAACTCCCTATAAAGTGCACATTTTTATTGTTTACAGATGCCATGTATGACACATGACTAGATTGATGTAATCATGAAAAATTAGAGTTTGGGATTTTTCCCAAAGGTCCAATCTATGACTAGACAGTAGACTGCATTAACAAAACAAGTCTAACTTGCACTTAAACCTACTACCATGAACGAGCCTGTGCTGTCTGGGTTCAACAGCTTGCATGTAGCCACAAATAAAATTTTAGGTTGTCCTTTCATCAGGATTTCAAAACAATCCCATTTAAAATAAACAGGACAGACGTATTAATAGAACGAATAATTTACAGAAGCAAAAGGACATGAATGACACACTACAAATACCAACTTCACACTCCATAGGAACTGTTCTACACATTGAATCAGAATCTGAAATCCTTCCAGGTTTCCTTCAATACATTTTAAAGCTTAGAATTTTGTCAAATCATATACATTAAGATTATTAAATCATAGAATTCCCTTCAGTGTGAAAAGAGAACATTTGGCGCATTGAGTCTGCACCGACCCTTCAAAGAGCATCAGACCCAGCCTCCTACCCCTATTTACTATGGCCAATCCACCTAGCGGCCATATCCCTGGACATTATAGACAATTTAGCATGACCAATCCACCTAACCTGCACATCTTTGGATTGTGGGAGAAAACCGAAGCACCCAGCAGAAATGGGGAGCAAGCGCAAATTCCACACGGACAGACAGTCATCCAAGGCTAGAATTGAACCCGGGACCCTAGCGCTGTGAGATAGCAGTGCTAACCATTGAGACACCATGCCAAGAAATCAAAGTATCTAATGTAGTTTATCTGATAACACCAGGCACTTGCCCCATTCCCTCAGAACAATTAGTGTGAAGTGGTCAGGTTCTACTTTAATGCCAGGGAAAACAAAGTGAATTGGATGTGAATACAATGTAACAGATAGCATGCTGTACAATAAAGATGCAGTGTGCTTACTGTCCAACCTTTTGTATTAATTGTATATTCAAGCGGTGGACATTGACTGGGAATGTATTTGCTTTTTCAATAGGAATAGGCTGAAATTGTGGTTGTTGGATTTGGAAGTGCATCTTTGTCATGTGCATCTCTAAATAAAAATGTAAGCGTGTTATGATCAGCTGCTTGAATTAAATCATTCTGTCTTAAGACCTCAGCTCTGCGGTCAGGGATAGTAATAATATTGTGAGGGTCTTAGAAGAGGCAAGCACCCAGGTCAAAAAAAAATACAATTTCAAGGAGCCAGTCACATTCTTCAAAGTTGCTCATCTCCAAATCTACCTGCTCAACTTCCATAAAGGCCTGAAAGGAAGGGAATGTTCTAGAAATCACACGAATGAGGAGGGGAAGAGGAAAAGTGGCCCTAAAAAAGCAAAATTATCCACAATTAGATGACTGGAAAGGAAGAACAATGTGGAACTGGAGTCACAATCACAAGTGATGTTACAAATATAAGCTCTTCTTGTCCATCATTGCACAGAAACATATTCTACTAAATACAGAAACAGGATGGGTGAACACTCAGCAGCTGGCCAACATGGGACGTAACCTTTTAGAGGAAAGTTCCATCATCATTCTTACCTTCTCTACATCAGGAGCCTGGAATGTATTGTACAGCAGAATTTCAGATGTTTCACTAGAAGTAAGAAAGAAACAGAAGTGATTACTATTGTTTTGGCAATATCTGCTGCTCAGACTATCCAGTGTTTAAGGACAGATATCTCAGAAAAAGATGGAACCTCACATACAAATTATTGACTTCTAAAGAACAGCATGTTACATTCTCTGAATGAGAGAAGGTCATTAAACTTATAGACACCCTCTTCACTCATTACTATGAGTATTCAATCCTTTGTTAATAGGAGATGGAATAAGTATGATAGCAAGAATACTCTTGGAACTGAAGTTTTAGAATCCATAGGAGTAGAGTTAAGAAATAACAAAGAGATGACAACACTGGTGAGAGTAGCCCTTTGGCCCCCTAACAATAGCTGCTCTGCAAGACAAGTGAATAATGAGACAATTAGGGCAAGTTAAAGCAATAGGCAGTCGATTAATCATGAATTAGTTTAATCTTCATGTAGGCTGAGAAAATCAAATTGGCAGAAGTAGCCATGAGGAATAATTCATGGAGTGTCTTTGGCATTGTTATCTACAATACCTTGCAAATCTAACCAGGGACCAGGCTATTTTGGATCTGGTAAATGTGTAACTGAGGCAGGTTTAATAAATGATCTCAAAGTAAAAAGTATCTCCAGGGAAAAGTGGCCATAACAAGGTAGAATTTAGCATTCAGCTGGGGGGGGGGGGGGGGGGGTGGAGAGAGAAGAAGAGAGGAAATACTTCAGTCGGAAACAATCGTGCCAAACTTAAATAAGGATAAATTACATGGGAATGAGGGCAGAGTTGGCTGGCGTGGTCTGGGAAAGGAGTTTAGCAAAAAGGATGGTTGATGAACAATGGCAGATGTTTAAGAAAATAGCTCATGACTCACAAAGATATATCCTAGTGAGAAAGGGGAATTCAAGGAAGGGGATAAACCAACCATTCCAACCTTTCCTGGCTAACCAGGAATGTTGAGGATAACATCAAATTGAAAGAAAAGCATTTTGGCAAAGATTAGTGGAAAAATCAAAGGATTGGGCAAGTTTTAGCAGGCAACAAGAAATGGCCAATAAAAAAGGAAAAAAAATAAATTAAGGGAAACTAGCACGCAACATAAAAACAGTCAGTAAAAACTTCTTTAAATACATAAAAACGAAGAGCAAGGCAACAGAGTACATAGGCTCCTTAGAAAATAAAGCTGCGGAGATAATGGGGAAGCCAGTAAGCTGCTAAAGAGTTGAATAAATACTTTTCATCAGTCTTCACTGTAAAAGGACACTAATAGTATCATAATGTACTAACTGATGAAGGGGCTAAAAGGAGAGGCAGAAATTACACAACGCAAGAGAAAAGGTATGATGAAACTAATGGGACTAAATATCAACTTGACCGGTTGCACCAGAGGATTTTAAAGCTGCTAGACAGTGGATGCATTGGTTTTTAATCTTCTAGTAATCCCTAGATTCTGGAGAGGTTCCAGAGGATTGGAAAACTGCCAATGGAACACGTTTATTTAAAAAAGGAGAGCAAAAACAGATAACTATAGGCCCGTCAGCTTAACATCTCTCATGGTGAAAATGTTAACAAGTCTATTAAAAATACTGTAATATCACTGCATTTAGAAACACATAATATAATCAAGCAGAATCAGCATGGTTTCCTTAAGGGGAAATCATGTCTGACAAATGTATTACAGCGCTTTGAAGTAAGAAGGGTAGATAAAGGGGAACCAGTAAATGTAATATATTTGGATTTCTAAAACACATCTGATAAGGTACCACATACAATACTTAATAACAGCCCATGGTATGGGGATGGTATATTAGCATGAATAGAGAATTGATTACTAGTTAATAGAAGATAGAGATTTGGATAAAGGAGGCATTTTCCAGAGAGGTTAAACTGTAACTTGTGCAGCACCACAGGGATTAGCGTTGCAGTCATAATTACTTAATATGTAATAAATTACCTGGATCATGGAAGTGAATAAATGACTGCTAAGATTACAGATGACAAAAATAGATGTGAAAGCAAGTAGTGAGAATGACACAAGGAGTGCACAGAGGGATAAAGACAGGTTTAAGTATGTGTGCAAAAATTTGACAGATGGAATATAATGTGAGGAAATGTGAAGTTATGCACTTTGGCAGTTAGAGTGGAAAAGATGAATATCATTTAATTGGAGAAAGACAGCAGACAGCTACAGTACAGAGGAATTTGGAGGTCCTAGAGCTTGAATCATAAGTAGTTAGCATCAGCGAGTAATCGGGAAGACAAATGGAATGCTCGCCTTTATTATAAGTATCAGGATAAGGATGGGCAAGTTACGGTGTACCTTTATTGAACTTTAGTTAGGCCACACTTAGAACATTGCCTATAGTTCTGATCACCACACTACTAGAAGGATGTGGTTGCTTTGGAGCGGGTACAGAAAAGGTTTAATTGGATGTTGCCTGGTATGGGGGATTTTAGCTGCAATGAAAGGTTGGAAAAACTGGGCTTGTTTTCACTGAAACACGGGAGGTTGAGGGGTGACCCGATAGAAGATTGTGAATGGTATGGATAGAATGGAGAGTATGAAGCTTTTTCCCAGGGTGGAGGGATCAATTACCATGGGACACAGGCTCAAGGTGTGAGGGAGGGGGATGTTTAAAAGAGACGTGCGATGCAAGTTTTTCACACAGAGGGTAGTGAGTGCCTGGAACATGCTGCCAGAGGAGGTGGTGGAAGCAGACACAATAGCGGCATTCAAGAAGCACCTGGATGAATACACGAATAGGATAGGAATGGAGGGATTCAATTCCTCCAAGTGAAGACAGTTTAATATGGAAGGGCAGAATGTGTCAGCGCAGGCTTGGAAGGTCGAAGGGCCTGTTCCTGTGCTGTATTGTTCTTTGTTCAAAAAAGGAGTGAAGTATAAAACTAGGAAGGTGTTGCTAAAATTATACAAGGCACAAATCAGGCTAACACTTGGAACACTGAACAGTTTGGATCCCCTTATCTAACAAAAAATATACTGGCATTGGAGGCAGCCCTCACAAAGTTCACTCAGTTGATCCTGGGTAAGGAGGGATTTTCTTATGAGGGGAGATTGAGTAGGTACTCATTGGAGTTCAGGAGAGTCAGGGGTGACCTTATTAAAACATAATTTTCTTCAGGCACTTAACAGATGTAGAAGGATTGTTTCCCTATGGGAGAGTCTAGGATGAGAGGGCTTAATCCCAGAGTGAAGTGTGACCCATTTAATACGAGATGAAGTGGATTGCTTTTTCTCCTAAGAGGGCAGTGAATCTGGAACTTTGTGGTACAGAGGACTGTTAAAGATATTCAAGGTTCAGATGGACAGAATGTTAAACAGGTAAGGGAATCAAGGGTTATGAGGATGAGCCAGAAAAATGGAGTGGAGGATTATCAGATCAGCCACGATCCGAGTGGCAGAGCAGTCCTCGTAGGCAGGATCTACATCTAGGAAAGGTTAAATTAGGACATGGCCAAGACCAAGGTGAAAATTTTACAAAGGAAGCTTCAGGGCAAGCAGGGCTTAAGACCAACAGGCACGAGGATGGCCACTGAGCAGGTGTGTTGCAGTTTGGATGTCTGTTGACATGAGCTGAAATTAAGTGGTGGGTCTGGGTTGTGGGGGGTTGGGGATGGGGTTGGTGCTAGAAGCAATGAGGGAAGTAAAGATGACCACCAAACTTCCTTTGCTGTCTCCATATGAACTGACATTGTAAATGGTTCCCATACCTCAGGTTCTGTACTGTTCCCCTTTCCCCTTTTAAAAGGGTCAACCTCGCTCCAAAAATAAATGCCACAAATATCAGCTTGTTCAAAATTCTGCACTCATCCTATAAACACTGAATTAGCATTTAACTGATCTATACTGGCACTCCCATTCCTCAACAGAGTCCATTAAACTCTCCATATCTCCTCCCACTCAAACTCCACCATATCCTGAAACCTAATTACCCCAATCCTTCCCAAATGAGCCATTCCACAAAGTCTTAACTTTTTATTCATCCATGCACTCCACCTTTGGAGGCAGGAGCATGTTTTGTTACGGCTGTGTTTGTATTGGCCACACAGGCTCTTGGTCAAGCAGTGCATCAATTTTAAAATTCTCATCACAGCTTTCAAATCCCTCGATGATATGGCCCCTCTTTATGTGCTATTGCCTCCAGCCCCTCAAGCCTTGGAGATCTCTGCTCTCCTCTATTCTGGCCTCTTGAAAATCTCCAACTTTAATTGCTCCACAATTAGCAGTCATGTCCTCAATTGCCAATAACCCAAGATCCAGAATTTCCTCCTCAAACCGATCCACCTCTTCTCTCATTTTGAGGCATGCCTTACAACCTACCTCATCGGTTAAGGTTTTGGTCATCTGTCTTAATATCTCCGCTGTGGCTCAACATCTAATTGTGGTGTAACTCTCCTGTGAAGTGCCTTAGGATGTTATAACACATTAAAAGGTGTTATTTGAGACTCACCTTAGGTCATTCTTTTACACTGGAAGTGCTATACAATGGGAAACTGTTACTGTAAAATTCAATGTTTCCTAATCACAAAATCCATAACGTACCAAGTGCTTTATTTCAGGGAATGCACCTGGGTGTAAGTACACTGTAACTTTACTCAACACTGTTAACTCTACTCGACAGATGTGGTTAATTATGAGCTGAAAACATTTCATTAATGAGCTTTGGGAAATCTGGTCCAGCGCAAATCCCATTTCATAATAAAACAGTTTTGGCCAAATGTACGCATAAACGTTGCCTAAACAGCAACTTACAAGCGCAACCATCCAATGTGTTACAAATTATGTATACAACAGCCAAGCTCTTTTTATGTAAAAAAGAGAGTTCAGAAGTGGAATTTTATTTAAAACAGTCCTCTCCCGTTGCATTTACGTACAGACTCCCAGCAGTGCCTATCGCATGCACAATTATTGTTGTTGCCATTTTTGAAATCCATGTCACTTTTTCCAGAACAAATGCATCAATGTCTGGTGTTTTTTGGCTTTGCTGCAGGAGCAAACTTGTATGAAGTATCCTGCCCGACACTTTACTCAAATGTCACTAAAACAAATACAACTGATGCTATCTTAATGGATCTCTGTATCCGGAAAGGTCAGCTTTTACTCTTCCTTAAGCAAAACTCTGCAATTTTAAAGCCATATATCAAAACCGACAAACATTTGAAAAGGATCAAAATCGTATTTTAACTCACAAAAGGTTTTAAAGCATTTTCTGGGTTGGGTGCTGAGCCACATTTATTAGTGAGCTGAAAGGGAAGTCAGTGGACCTCTGGTTTTCCACATGCTAGCTACGGCCAAAGGCTGAGGAGGATGCTTGAAGAATTATTTCAAGGATGTCTGCAACCGAGACAAGGGGACCCAAAACATCAATTCCAGCAACTGGAACATACACTAATTGATGATCAAGAAATACGATGACATCTTCTGTCAGCTGGTGTGCGCTAGATATTTTCTAAACAACCCGTTCAGGGATATTTGTAAACAGCAGGTGGCCTCCTGGTCCAGAGGCAGGGTCGCTACCACTGTGCCACAAGAGCCGGTGGCTGCAACAGCTTGGTAACAGACACAGAGTAAACAACAACCCACAAACACCACCCAATAACCGCTTCATTAGAACTGCCTCCAGCAGATTCTGCCCTTCAGCTACCAGCAAGACTGCACCAGAAGAAGCTATCCAATTCCCAGCGGCTTTGATTTGATGCGTGCCCATCATCTTACACAAGAACACCAATTCCGAACAACAGTAATTTAAAGCTGATGAACAGTGGCTGGAAAGAAACAGTACATGGCGAAATACTCTCTTTCGCCCAGTACAATCCACACTCAAAATGCTACTGACTGCACAATCTGATCTGATATAATTTCGACTGGGAGACCAGCAAGACACAGCCTGTCAATAACACACTGCAGAGCAGACTCTGGGGTTAGGTCATGGTGGAGTCAGGAGAGAAGTAGGAAAATAGATTGTAAGGTGGCTACAAAATACGAAACAGAACACTGGGGTTGAAAGTATTTAGATTAAATGGCACTGGGAGCACTGTTGTTCACCGTTAAAAAAATTATTTGGACTCAAATTCAACGTAAGATTTCAAAATTTGAGATTGACACAAAATCAAGTTGTGGTATTGACAGGGAGGAGACTGCAACAAATGCAGGAAGACATGAATAAATGTGCAGAATAGCTATGTATTCAGCAAACTAGTTTCAAAATCAACAGAAGGTAATAGTGTTTGGTAAGAGAAATAAAGAGGGCAATGCTTCTTGGAAAACAAAAGTGACTAAATCATGGAGAAGAACAGGCAGGTGGAAATAGTTTAGTTTGGGATCATGTTTGTCATGGGCTGGCAAGACCAAAGGGTCTGTTTCCATGCTGAGAGACTCTATGGTACACATATGTGAATCATAATTTACCAACACAGGTTAATAAAGTCATCAAAATAAAAACCAAAGCAGTAGGACAGTTCATCTTTAGAAGGATAGAATTGAAAATCTGACAGGTTATGTCAAACTTGGAGAACTTTGGTTAAGCCATACTTATGGAATAGTGTGAACTGTTCTGGTCTCCCTCTTACAAAAAGAATGTTGGAGGAGGAGATTTATTTGGAAGATTCCGGAGCTGAGATATTACACTCAACATAAAAGATTGAATGGGCTTGGCTCATTCCTCTACGGAAATGAAACTGAGGGGGGTTGACATGATAAGGCCTTTAAGATTATGAAAGGGTTTGATAGGATAAGTGCAGAGAAGTGCCTACCACTTGTAGACAACGCCAGAAATGGGACGTACAACCAAGGAAGTCACCAACAAATCCGGTAGTGAACTCAGAAGAAACTTCTTTAAAACAAGAGAAAAGTGAAAAAGTACAACTCGCCAGCACAGGGAGCAGTCGAGGTGAATAGTTTAGATGCAAAGGAAAAGCTTGATAAACTTGAAGGAGAAAGGAATAGAAGGTTAAATCAGAGGAGATTCTGAGGCATGGTTTAATAATAAAAATAGAATCCCTACAGTATGGAAACAGGCCCTTTGGCCCAACAAGTCCACACCGACCCATTCCCCTATAACCCATCTAATCTATACATCCCTGAACACTACGGGCATTTTAGCATGGCCAATCCACCTAGCCTGCACATCTTTGGACTGAGAGAGGAAACCGGAGGACCCGGAGGAAACCCACGCAGGCACGGGGAGAATATGCAAACTCCACACAGACAATCACCCAAGGGGTGGAATCGAACCCAGGTCCCTGGTGCTGTAAGGCAGCAGTGCTAACCACTGAGCCATCGTGCCGCCCACCAGAGAATCCTTACAGTGTGGAAACAGGCCCTTCAGCCCAACAAGTCCACACTGAACCTCAGAGCATCCCACCCAGACCCATCCCCCTATAACCCACCTAATCCACACCTCCCTGAACACTACGGGCAATTTAGCATGGCCAATCCACCTAACCTGCACATCTTTGGACTGTGGGAGGAAACGGGAGCACCCAGAGGAAACCTACACAGACACGGGGAGAATGTGCAAACTCCACACAGACAGTCGCCCGAGGCTGGAATCGAACCCGGGTCCCTAGCACTGTGAGGTAGCAGTGCTAACCACTGTGCCACCGTGCCACCTAAGGGGTCTTCCACTTCTGATGGAAGCAAAGAGAAATTCCTTCTTTCAGAGGATTTGGTCTTCCCAAGATAGCCATGGAGGCAGAGTCACTGAATACTTTTTTAAGGCCGAAATAAATAGATTCTTGAAAAACTGAGTTAAATGGTATAGGGAATAGGCAGGAATGTGGAGCAGAGACCAGAAGCAGATAAGCCATGATCTTATCCAATGGCAGAGCACATTCAAAGAGCCAAGAGATCTACTCATGCTCTGAATTCATGTGATTAGGCGTACGTTGTTTGTTCCAGCTTTATACTGTTGCATTCTTGTTGATGTGTACCATAGCAACATGGACCAATTAGGCCATAAGGCTGGCTCGTACTGTAAATTCTTTGTAAAGACTATTGTATGATGATAGCACATTTGTTGAAAATTCATGACCACTTGTTTCACACAACAAAAATGAATAAGGAATTGAAGTGCACCTACCTGATCTCTGGAAGAAAAGACTTCTTGTACGCGTCCTCAACGCTCTGTAAGTAATCCGCAGAAACGTTTTGTTCGTAAGTCTGCAAAACAACACAGTTCATTTTGTGGATACACGTGAAAAATATCATTAACCAAAAAAAAGGGGGAGGTTATTAAACGGGGATGTTAAGGTAAGGGACAGATTTATCCCATCAGCCACTCACTATAATTTCAATGTTCCTCAGGAAACCAAGACGCGCTGAGAAAGGAATAGAAAACCTGCATTTGTAATAGCTCATTCAGAAATTACACCCTAAAAAGTATTAAAACGTACTGACAATTCCAGAAAAGATTGGGCCAGATTGTCCGTTGGGTAGCATTCTCACACAGGTCGTCACTCCTGTCTGCATTTCTGAGGAGATTCTGCTCAGGGCTCCTTCTGTTCTGACAGTTCTCTCATAGCGGAGAACAGTTAGAGTGCAGCAAGCCACAGCCGACCTTCACAAAGCAGTAAGCTGCTGCAATCTGAAATTGAAAAGTCCTGACAGCCAATCTGACGACTATTATAAAAAGGGCAAGTCCGTGAGGGGAGTGCAACGTCAGGCTGACGGGAGAGTTAGGTGGCAGATGGGTGGAGGGGGTAGGCTTCAGTTAGGGGTGGTGGTAGTTGCCCCTTGCACACTGGCAAGCTAAGTGTTTGTAGTAGCGTGGGGTGGGCTGGGCAATGGGACAGGCGGGGGTCAGTTCCAGTGGGCAGAGGGAAACGGATGGTCAGGTCCAGTGGATTGGGTTCAGCTCGGGTCAGGTCTGTAAGAGGTTGGTCAAGCACAAGCGGGAGGTTCAGCTGTGGATTGGGGCAGGGGTTCCAGCTTGGTGGTGGAGTGGTGCTGAATCCTGGGGCAAGGAGTGTAAGGGGTCTAGGGGCTGTGAGCGAGACAAGTATGGGGCCAGTTTAATATGTATTCAGGTGTTAGACTATGAATTTAAAGAGTCTCACTTTCCTGAGTAACTATTTGACTTGGTTTCATTAAAACCGTCCAAAGTCTCCAATTTTTATGGCGATCTTTGGAGGTTTCTAAGTGTGGAGGAATTTTGCAGTATAAAATTCAATTTCCCAGACAATTCCTTTGGACCGTGCTACGATGGAGATTCTGTCAGGTTCTCACGTGTAACTCCTATCTACACTAGAACAACAGCAGTCTGCCAGTGGAAAATCTGCCCCATACAGAGTAGGAGTAGACCACTGAGCTCACTCCAGCATTCAACATGCTCATGGCTAATACTCTATCTCAACAACATACTTGCGCTCTCTCTCTCATATCTGCTGACAGTCTTAGCCTCAAGGCATCTATTTGTTGCTTAAATATATTCTGTGACATAACCTCCACAGCTTTCTACGGTAGAGAATTCTACAGGTTTACCACTCCGAGTGAAGAAACATCTCATTTCAGTTTGAAATGGCACTCTGTATATCCTGAGGCAGTGATTGAGTGCCCAGCTTGGGGAAATAACATCCCTGCATCCTGTCTGTTGAGCCCTGTAAGAATTTTGTGTGTTTCAATGAAACCCATCTCCCATTCTTCTAAACCCCAGTGAATACAGGTCAAGTTGACTCAATCTCTCCTTTTACACAAGCTTACGATCCCAGGAATCAGTCCTATGAACCTTAGCAAAGAGGGAGGGCAGCAAAGTATACAATTTCTATGGCAAGAAGACTAAAACTGCACAAAAAACAGCAGGCATGGTCACAGCAAGGCAGTGTAGAGCTGCTTGTTTCAACCTGCACAAAGTCCCATTCACACCCCACCCCATGCTCTTCATCCAGCTACACCTTGATCGCTGAATACTAATTTTTCAAGTCCTTCTATGACTTCATTCCTTTCCACCTCTGCAATCCCATTCAGTCCCCACAACTCAGATGTCTACACTCCTCCAAATCTAGCCCCGATATGAATCATTCCAGGATGGCTGGTGTTCCTTCAGATGCCTAGATTCTGGAACTGCCTTTCTACACCTCTCCAACTTTCTTCCACCTTCTCCTCCTTTAAGGCGCTCCTTCAAACCTACCCCTATAAACCAACATCGCGCATCTCAATATTCCCTCATGTAGCTCTTTGTCAAATATTGTTTGATAACGCTCCTGTGAATCGTTCCTGGGGCTTAAAGATTTTAAAGTGACTTTGCAAATGCAAGTTGCTGCTGTTACAAATAAAGGTTTTAGGTTGGGATACTTCTCTCAGTAGGACCTGCTGCTGCCATCAGGCATGCAAACGTACCAGAATTTAGCATTACTTAAAAGAGAATCAGGAAGATAACCTCTAGCTTCTAGCTGACCGTAAAAGCACTGGTCCTCAGTCCAGGCCACATTATACTGGTTCTTAGTGAAATACACAAATAAATAACTCCTGACTCAGAACTGAGAAGGCAACTAAGTGTCCCATTCAATGGCAAATAAGAAACTCCCCTGACAAACATACCGCCACCTTATAAATATCTCCAGGTACCAATAGTATTGGCGACTAATCTGCGAGTAGACCCTCAGCATTGTGCTTGTGCACAGTCACACACACATGGAAATTATCACCACTTTCTCACTGTCACTGAGTGAAAATCTGGAACTCCCTCCATGACAGTGTGACAGCATTTTAGATGTACTTAGGATAACACACTGCAATGATCTCAAGAAGGTGGCTCACCACCGGCTTCTCAAGGCCAAATACAGTAGATTTAAGCAGCACCGGGTCAAAATATGCTGACCCAGCCAGCACACTCGCATCCCAAGAGAGAATACAGGTATTTCTGCTATAATGCATGTTTCGTTAACATAAATTGGCTGTAACGTGATTGATGAATACTGCACACAGTATGGATAATGCAAACTTTTTGCTGTGCAGGTGTAGCGATTTCCCTATAACGCGATTTTCTTTGGCAATTTTCTATTGCGTGAGGTCACGCAAGAACACAACTATCACGTTATAGGAGAAATACCTGTATATAAAGCTATTTTTCAATGGATAGACCAGACAATATGCTCTAGTTACAACAGATATTCTCTTATGAAAAAACCTGGCATTCTCAAGGCAGCCAGACAATCACTACATTTAACACAGTAAAGAAGCATGACCAAAAGACTGTACAAATGCCTGGCATGAGTCAGAGTCCAAATTGTTGTGTGGCAGCTCTCCAATAACTAAATGCAGAAGGTTGTATTCGATTATATCCTGGGGCTGATTTCATGTCAGTTCTTAGCCAGATTGCCACACAGACTCTGTAACAAGGAGTGCCACTTTCTGCAAAGTAGGTGGGTGGTTGCGTGGTTAACTAGGAAAACCAGCCCATCAGGTGTTTCAAGATTCCTTTTGTGCTCTCCACAATCAACTAGTTCAGCCAAAAGAAAATTAAAGCTAAGTTCAGATTTTTCATTTTCAAATGAAGTTTCCAAAGCCTTCTGACATGGTTGCAGCTGCTGTCTTTATGAAATGGTCAAGAAGTGGATACGTCTACTACATTTCCTCCCTATTGTTCCCTTCCTAAGGAAATGGAGTACTCTCACTCTCTGATACCAGTATCCCACACCTTCCTGACTTGGAATGTTTTGTGCCAGTATCCTGTACCTATTATTCCACTATAGTGCTGATGAAAGCAATAAAGGATGTGCAGGAAATTGTGGTTTGATCAAGACAAAACGTAAGTTCAACTACTGGAAAGAACTTAAAATAAACAATAGTACTTAACCTTCCAGCTGATGGTGGATATTTAAAGCAATTTATATATAGAAATCATCATTCATGCCTGTCCATTCTACACTCCATTGAAAAAATGGCCATTCCTTTGCAGTCAGTTGCTCATTAAGGATCATCAGTGCGCAACTTAAATGGTTAATTAGAAGAAATGGTTTGAGGTAGATAGACACATTGCACATCAGAAACCACTGCTCTTTGGTATTATTAAACTGGGCCATGGAGCATAATGTCATAGAGTCAAAGTCGTACAGTGTGGAAACAGAACCTTCGGTCCAACTCGTCCACACTGACATATGCTAAATTAATCTAGTCCCATTTACCAGCATTTGGCCTATATCCCTATGAACCCTTCCGATTCATGTACCCATCCAGATACCTTTTAAATGTTGTAATTGTACCAGCCTCCACCACTTCCTCTAGCAGCTCATTCCATATACACACACCACCCTCTGAAACGGGTGTCCCTTAGGTCCCTTTTAAATCTTTTCCCTATGCCCTCTAGTTTTGGACTCTCGTACCTGGGGGAAAGATCTCGGCTATTCACCCCATCCATGCCCCTCATGATTTACAAACCTCTGGAGGTGAGCTCCAAAACTGAGGGCTCTTTGAACTTCTTGAGACAATCACAAGGGCTCAATAACCAAGGAGTCAATAACAGGAATAAAAACTAAATTTGACTTTTTTGACCAGCTTGACAACACAATGAAACTCGGATCCCATTGATTTTTGTATTTAATTTTCAATACCGGTCAATCCATTGCGTGCCCTGAACTTTACATAGTCCCGAGTTTTTCACAAATGTCTTGCTAAGCTTCCATTCCTTTTAATGTCTACCTCCAAGTTCCAGGAAACCAGATTTGCTCAATGCAACTGTTCCAAGCCCGCTGTGATGTGTGACGTTTTGGCAAGAAGACAGCAGCTTACAAAAACAAGCCATGCCAGACAAATCACATTCAAATCTTATAATTCGCTCGCCACAATCAGCAACAGAGAGAACTAGTTTCTGGATGTGGTTAAGCTGTTGTGTTTAAGCAGAACAGGCTGTTTACTTTGCCTGCACGTACCACTCAAAAACCATTACTGCTGAACCATTTGCAATATAGCATGTTAAACTGTTTAGATTACACAATATCAAATCTCAAAAGGAAACAGAACTGTAGACTGCAATTAGTCAATAATAAACACCAATGCAAACTGGCATTGCCATTATGTCTCTAACAAGAGTCAAACATTCTAAGGGACTTCACTAGGAGCTAAAATTTATTCAACAGGGCAAGAGCGTGTTAGGGGCATCCACACACATGGTCAAAGTGGTAGACATTGAGAATAGTGAGAGGCAACAAGATGGAGAGCATCCC